CAAATCTCCACACCCGGTGCCGCCCACCCCGCTCCGTTCCGTTCAGGCCCCGCTTTGTCCCCGCGCGGCCCCGCCTCGCTCGGTTCCCCCCCCCACCCCAATCACCGCAACCCCTCACCCCAACGCCGCAACAGTAACCGCGGCCCGGCCCCGCGCACCTTGCACAGCCCCGCCAACGGTTACCGAAGGGAAGCGGCCTACGGGCGGGCAGGGGCCGGCGCCGCGGGCCTGGCGCGCTCCGTCTGCCTCCGTCGAACAAAAGAGCCCGGCCAGCCCCAGTGCCCGCCGCGCCGCGCCGCGCATGCGCCGCGACCCGCACCCACCGCGGTGCACTATGGGAGATGCAGTCCGCCGCCGTTAGATGGGGGAGTTGCCGCGGGGCATCGTGGGAGGTGTAGGCCCTCGCTGACGCCGGCGCGAACTACAGCACCCAACATGCACCGCGCCGGCAGGAAGAGGAAGTGCAGCTCGCGGTATAAGGCTGCCGCGCCGCCGTGCGGTTTAAAGGGGCCGCGTCCTGCGTGAGGAGGTGAGAGGGTCCTGAAAGAGGGAGGGGCGGATCTGGCCGTAATTGGGACGCTGAGCTCTGTATGGGGAGCCCGGCGCGGCAGGGGGGAGGTTGTATGGCTTGTTTTTGGGGCTGAGGCCTTGAGAGGGAGAGGCCTCCGAGTTTGTGCCGGTGCCCCGCAGCCTCGGATCGCGACCCCCGGGGTGCAGTGGGGGTAACAGCGGCTCCCCCTGAGAGCCCTTAATTCGGATCTTAAGCAAAAGCCCCGAAAGAGGATTTGGCATGATTGCTTAAAGCTGCCCCCCAAAGCTGCCTTCTCCCTTTGGTTTATCGAGTGAAGACCAATTAACTCTGAATCGAGCTTAAATGAGATTATTTGATGCTCGGTGTGAAAGTGTGGCCGTGAGACACGTGTGCGTTCCCTCATGGGAGCGAGCAGCAGCGGCCTTGTGCTGTGCCAGGCCTGGGGCTGTGCTCGGTCCTGCTCTGCCCACGGGCAGCACTGGGCCCTCTGGGGCTGCAGGAACCCCTCCCAAGGCAGCCCTGTCGCCCCCCAGCTTTTCCCATCCATGGAGCAGCGGCCCCCAGCTGTCCTTTGTGGTCTCCAATCTCCTATAGCTGAGCAACCCAGCCCCTCTTTTCTGCTATTCCGTGAGGGCTGTTTTTTCTCTCTTCTCCTCTCCCTGTTTTTGCCCTGGAAGCAGTGGGATCACAGCTGCCTGGAGAGCTGAGCGCCCATTGCTGAGCCCGGCAGGGTGACTGGTAGCACGTTTTCTGCCCTCAGTGCCCAGGGGGAGGATTGCATGCACTGAAATGCAGTGGGATTTTTTTGGCAGGTTCCCCTCACTCTCCCCCTTACAGCTCAAACTGGAAACAGCAGCAGCAGCAGCAGCAGCCTGACCCAGCCATAGTGAGACCTGTCACTGTGAGATACCCCAGATCTGCCTGCACTGGGCCTGGAGCTCCTGCTCTGTGCCCTCAGCTCTTCTCTGCTGTCCATTCACACCTTCTGTGCTCTCTGCATTGGATCAGACAAGTGAAATCTTGCAAACCAGTGGAGCCAGATTTTTGAAGCGTGGATCGTGGCTCACCCCTCCCCTTGTCCTGGCTAAAATTAGCTCAGCCTTCAGAAGAGCTTTGCTTCACAACCCAGCGGATAAATAAAGGCTGAGCTCGCAATGCTACCCAGCACTTGGCAGCTCCCGTGGCCTAAAAGGCAAAGCTCCAGGAACTGGGAACAGGTGAAGGGTTGCTGTGCCTCTCTGCTCCGCGTCCCTCAGGAGCCAGGGCTGTGTCCTCAGCCTCAGGTTCATCCCAGGGGCTCCAAATGCCTTGCACAACAAACAGGAGAGGTGAAACCAGGACACATTTGGTCTGCTAGCTCCCCCTGATGAGCTCTCCTGCTCTGTGTGGTCCAGACCAGGAAGGGACGCTTGGATGGGTTGGTTTGTGCCGTTATGGAGTGTGGGGACTGTCTGTCCTCTCTCTTGCTCGCGGCGCTGGCATCGTGCCTGTGCTATCATTGCAAAACAGGGATTACTGCAGGAGAATGCAGTGGGGCAGCAAATCAGCTGGGGGCCCAGCAGTGCCCGAGGGATGTGGTGGAGGAGGCAGCAGCTCGTGGCAAAACTCAGCAGGAGAGATGAGGGCACCGTGGGGTGCTGGGGAGGGTGGGAGCGGGGAGGGCAGTGAGGGCGAGCGGTTGCAATGCAGACACGACGTCCAACCAGAGGGGGAAATCGTGGTCTGGAGTTTGCTGCTTATTCAGTTGAATTGTGAAAGAGCTGAGAGGAGCGGCGTTGTCTGTGTCTGCTGCTAATGGGAGACGTGCTGGGGCAGCAGCAGGAGCTGGGCTGATCTCAGGGAGAGGAGCAGGCTCATCTGGCAGCGGGAGGATGCTGGCTGGGAGGTGGCTGCTTTGCTTGTGCTGGGCAGGCAGCAGGGGGAGGCTGGTGAGAGGAGGAAGCTGTGATCAAAGCGGGGTTCTTTCCTTACCACCTGAACAGGCAGCACTGGTGTTTCAGTGCAGAACTGCCATGCAGTGTGGGGAGGGGCTGGGCTCTTCCATCCTTTTCTCCTATGGAGCTACAAGGAGAAGAGGTGCTGCATGTCCCAGTTCTGGCTATGGAGCAGCCTCCAGCATCCCCCAGCAGCAGCATGATGGGCTGTGTGGCCCATGTGGGGCCTGTGGGAGGTTAATGCTGCTTTGCTCTCTGCCCTGGGGGCTGCTGGAGTTGGATGCATCCTCTTTATTTCACGGTGGCTTACTGGATTGGATCAGCTGTGCTAAGACTGGGGGCTGGAGAGGAGCTGCTGGGTGAGACAGAAATGTGAACTTCTTGGGGGTGTGAGGAGAACGTGGGGAATCCTGAATGTCTGAGTGCTCCATCTCTTCCTACTGTGTCCTTTGTCCTCTGTGCAGATGTTTCCTTCTGGACTCTGGCTCTAGGATGTTGGAGAGCCGAGAGGAGGTAAGATGCCTCCTGATGTGGTTTTATCTGCTCCTGGCTGGGGTTTGGCAATGCTGGAGCCCTGGGTGCTGCATGGAGGGGAGAGAGGTGCTGAACGCTGGGCAGAGCTGGGGGGTGGGTGGGGGTGAGACTGGGAGGTTCTGCCCTGTGCTCAGGCAGTGTTTGTGCCCAGGAGCTGACCACAGTGCGCGTCCAGGACCCTCGGGTGCAGAACGAAGGCTCCTGGAACTCCTATGTGGATTATAAAATCTTCCTCCATGTAAGTTGTGGCTGCTGGGAAACAGCAGAGCTCACCTGCCTCGTTGCCCCTCAGCTGGGAGGATCACGTCTGTGGTTTGTTTGTTTGTTTTGTGCAGACCAACAGCAAGGCCTTTACAGCCAAGACCTCATGTGTGCGACGCCGGTACCGTGAATTCGTGTGGCTGAGGCGGCAGCTCCAGAAGAATGCTGGCTTGGTGTAAGCGTGCCCTGAGCTCCCTGCTTTCCCCCCACCTGCAGCCAGACACCACACTTTCATTGCTCTGGGTATCTTAAGTGCTCTCGGAGCAGATGGGGATAAAAAAGGCAGAGGGGTGGCTTTCTCCAGACGTAGATGTGGGACGCTGGCACTCGTGAGGTCTGGCTCTGCACAAAGCAGGGGGCCAGCTGCTGCTACCGTGGTGCCCCACATCTTCTTGCTCCAGTGCTGGGCAATCTGACCCTGAGCTGCTGCCTTTGCTCTCTTCCTGCAGGCCTGTCCCAGAGCTGCCTGGGAAATCCACCTTCTTTGTGGGGAGCACAGATGAATTCATTGAGAAGAGGAGGCAGGGGCTGCAGCAGTTCCTGGAAAAGTGAGTGAAGCTTTTGCACACACCTCTGGGAGGGCGTGAGAGGGAGGATGCAGCGCTTGGAAGATGCTGTTTGTGAGGTGGCAGTGGATCTGCTGGGGGGGTCACCCTGGCAATGTGAGCTGCCTGGACAGGGCCGAGTGCTCTGTGCTCCTGCAGACTTGCCTCACCCCCTTCTCTTTTCGCACAGGGTTGTGCAGAATGTTGTCCTCCTCTCCGACAGCAGGCTGCACCTCTTCCTGCAGAGCCAGCTCTCCGTGCCTGAGATAGAGGCATGCGTGCAAGGCCAAGGCTCACAGACAGTGACAGAAGCCATCCTGCACTATGCCATGTCCAACTGTGGCTGGGTGCAGGAGGAGGAGAGCCGCCCTACGCTGCTGCCGGGAGGAGGTGTGCATGGCAGGTAATGCAGGCAGGGAAAGGCTGACCCAGGGGCACCACAGTGGGGCAGAGCCCAGCTCTCTTGCTGTGCTCAGAGGTGCTTTGTGCTGGCTTGAGCAGACCTGGTACCAGCAGCACCCTGAGCCAGGTGGTGCCCTGCTGCCCACACCTCCCCTTGCCTGTGCTTGCAGCTGTAGGAATGCTGCTTAGAAATGGCTGGTGTCTGTGCAGTGGAGTTTCACTTTTAGGAAACAATTTCTACTATGAAATGAGATGAGCTGCCAGCCTTTCCAGGGACTCCTGAGTGGCTTTTTGAGTTGCCTGTCACATCTTTGTTGCAGTCATTTAAAGGAGTAAAGCTGAGCATGTGTTCCATAGCCCTGCACACAAGTGGGCAGGATTCCAGGGACCAGATGAGCAGAGATGGATGTCACAGGCTGTTGCCTGTGGAACCAGGTCTCCTTGCACTCCTTCAGGCTGCCTGGGAAGGGTGACCTGTTCTGGCCATAGCCAAGGCTTAGCAGAGGAGAGCTTGAGTCTCCCAGAAAAACTTAAGCTGAGATTTACAGAGATCTTTGGATGCATTCCTTTCTTAATCTCTGTGCGGTGAGGAACCTTTGAGCCTTTCAGAACACAGGTTTTATGTGCATCTTCTCCCAGCCCTTGCAGTGTGCAAGGCACGTCTTCACGCCCACCAGAGCAGCCCTGTGTGTGTGGGAATTAGCCAGGCATCAGGTAAGGAGGGCTGCCACCTTGCTGCCAGTCGAGGGTTTTCTGTACCTGGGGAGACAGCTGCTATGGTAGGAGAGGAAAGCATCCTGCGTTTGTCACCTCTGCATCAAGTCCTGCAGGTCCAGGTTGCCTGGCAGTGAAGCTCCGCATCCCTGCGCTCCTTGAGCCTGCTGTGCAGGAGGCCGTGTCTGGCCTTCTGTACCACTTCTGCAAGTGCTTTTTCAGCTTGGTTTTCAATGAATGGAAAGAAAGATGTTTCTAGACCCCAGCCGGGTTGAAAACAGAGCTCTTTGTGCTTGAAGGATAGGGTTTGGGAGAGCACAGCAGCCCGAGCTAGCAGGGTAGGTATGCAGGTGTTGGGCTGCGTTTTCCTTGCTGCTGCCAGCACCTTCTGCCTCTCACTGATGGTGCTGCCCTCGTGTACAACCACAAGCAGCCGCTGCAGTGCTGCCAGTGCTCTGACTGCTCTCTCTTTTCAGCTGTGCCAGCCTGGGGGCCACACAGGGGCTGAGCTGCCTGGAGACCCTCCCGCACTGGAGCGACTTTGGCATGGATGACGCGCACTCGGACAGCCCTGATGAGCCAGCAGAGCCCTTGGGTGGACAGCAGGAGATGCAGTAAATGGTTTGAGCGACCTCACCTGCCTTCCCCAGGACCTGCAGCCCTCTTTGGAGGAGCTGCTGCTGGCTGAGCCAGTGGGAGGCCGGGCTGGCAGGACTGGGGATGTGCTGGGAACACGGCTTTGTCCTTGGCTCTGTGGTGTCCGGGGCTCGTGTGCTCTCTCCCTGATGACTCTCAACTGTCCTTGATGTCCCAGGCAGCGTGTTTGTGTAGCTCTTCTCTTTGGAGAAGAGATCTAGTGGTTAGTGAAACCTGTGTTTCTTATTCCCGTGGCCCTTTGCTCTCCAATTGGAGTGGTAGCAGGGCTTGGTTAGGTCACAGTGCACAGTGTTATTGGTACATTCCTGGCCCTGGGCAGGGTGGGATGTGCTGGCTGTGATGTGTGCAGCCTCAGACTGGCAGTGGGGAGCTGGCTGCTGCCCAGCAGATCCCTTTGGGTCAGCCCTCTGCGTGGAGGCTGCATTTCCCCAGTGGCAGCAGCTCTGTGCAGCTCCTGGTGGTCTCAGCTGCACGGAACCCACAGCAGGCTGCAGATGCTCTGCCCACACCTGGGTCCTGCTGGCAGCATTTGCCCCACGAGCTGCACGCAGCTGGGACAAATAGAGACGAAACCCACCCAGGAATGAGGGAACAGTTTATCTCCCCTGCCTGTTTGTGCAGCCACCCCTTCCAGATGGGATTCTGCAGCAGAACAAACCTTTTCCACACGTTGATAGCACAGTGGGGGAACGTGGGAGCAACAGGGGAGGAGAACGGGGGACTCACAGCCAGGAGGGAGGGAGCTCAGAGCGACGCAGCATGCAGCTGCCTTGCAGTGGGTGTCTGGCAACGCTTGGGCCCTGGTTACTTTTGCTGCTGCTCCCCTGTGCTCTCCTGCACCTTTTCCTATACCCTGAGCACTGGTAGAGGCAGAGCTGACGTGCTCTGACTTGAAATAAAAACAAAGTAGAAGAGGCTTGCTGCTTGCTGGTGATGTCTGTCCTTGCTGTGTGGGTGGAGGGAGCCAAGCAGGGCCGAGGCCAAGCTAATTGGAGATAGATGGCTGGAGGGAACAGAGCTGCTGCTGGCACCTCTCCCTATAGGGCTGCTCCTGCTGGTGCAGCTCACTGGGAGGGAGAGGTGAGAGGGTCCACAAAGCAGAAAGCAGGAGGGAGGGTCGTGCTGTCAGATCTGCGGGGCTTGGGGTGGTTGTCCTCACACAGAGGTTTGGGTTTGCAGAGGAGGGAGGGTTGGAAACCCATCGTCATGTCGCAGCCGAAATGTCAGGAGAAGTTCATGGTGAAGGCTGGCAGCTGCTGGTGCCATTGGCTGCCCCCCTTCATACATATTCATGTCTGCTGATGAGCGTGCAGCTCCAAATGGCTCAGCTGCGAGGCCAGCTGTGGCCATAGACAGCACAGCATCCTGCAGGCATCGCTCCTTCGGCCAGGGCTGCAAAACCTGAGCACGGCACTCAGCCTGGAGCTGCAGCCCTGCTCCGGGCATCCCTCTCTCCATGCCCTGCCAGGAGCTGGCCAGCCCTGGGGCTTCCCTTTGTAAGTGATGGAGATCCAGCAGCCCTGCAAGCAGAGCTCGGTTCTCCTGCAGGGTGCCCATCCTTCCCCCTGGGGGGTGCAGCTGCTGCCCCGGTGTTGGCTGCTTGTCAGAGCCAGACGGAAATTATTTTTAGTGGTGTTGATCGACTCTGCAAAGCTGTTGGGAAAACAGTGACTCATTCGGAGGCAGAACTGTGGAGGGGGGGGGGGGGGGAATAGCCGCCCCGGTGCTGCATGCAGAGCAGAACAGCGCTGCTCCCGCAATGCTGTGGCCGTAGGAATGGCTGGGAATGGGGTCCAAGATGTGCAGGGATGGTTTCGTGCAGGGCCTGAAGGTGATGGACGGGGGTGCCGGGTCTCTCTGCCACGCATGGAACCGATGTAGGGGGAGCGCAGCCGGCTGTGGCCTGGGGTTTGCTCCGGGCTTTGAAGCAGCTGCGGTGGGCACACGGAGCGGCTCAGGGCAACCCCAACCGCCCCCCCTCCCCTCCCCGCAGCCCCGCACGTCTCTCCGCTCCCTGCCGCTGCCAGGAGCAAAGCTCGCCGCCTGGACGCGATCCAGGCTCTCCAGACAGCGCATCCTCGCCTTCCACGCCCGCCCCGGGGAAAGCTGTGTCAAATCTGTGCAAACAAACCACGGCGTTGTGCGGGCCCCCCCCCCCCCCATTCTCACTGCACGCACCCACCGCTCCGTGTCCCCGGGGTACCAGGAAGGGGGTTGATGGAGCAGGGCAGGATCCGACCCCCGTGGTGTAAAGCGGGGTGAGCACCGTGCTGCAGTGCACGGAAGCCCTGGGAAAGGCTCTCTGCCGCTTTGGATCTGGAGGAAGGTAAAGGGCAGCTGCCGGTGCGCCGGGGTAGGGGTTGGGGGGGGGGGGGGGGTTGTGAACGTACACCTCCATCTCCTCCCTCCGCACACCCCCATCCCGGAGGTCCCTCCGTGCCTAGCTGAGCTCTGGGCATCCCAAATCCATCCCAAAGGCCCGAGGTCCGTACTACTAGCGAGCCCCGCATCAACGTTACCCCGCTTCTCAGCCCCGCATCCCCCCCCTTACCCCCTTTCCAGCCCCCCACCGCCGGTGTCTCTCCCCCGGCCGGGCGGTGCGCGGGCCCAGAGCGCCACCTGGCGGCTGCACGGCGTAGTGCAGCTTGGAGCGGATAAAGCGGGGAGGGGGTGTGGGGGGGGGGGGAGTTTATTGCGGACCCCCGGCCCATGGGGGGGCTGATGATGCCCGAGTACCGAGGGGTGTGCAGAGTCCGGAGCAGCGGGTGGTGGCACGCAAAGCTCTTCTTGTAACGGGTTCTGAAGGCTGGGGAGGGTCCTTGTGGCATCGCAGCATGGGCAAGGGAGGGGTGAGCGCCTGGATTTGGGGAGGGGGGAGAGAAACGGTGAGTGTGGGGAAGGGGACGCAGGGTAGGGCTGTGAGTCACAGAGAGGACACGAAGGTCTCCGTGCCCAGAGGGCGGTCAGGCGGCTGCTGACCCCCTGCTGTCCCAGCCCCACTGCTGGGCTCCATTTCCCCGTCTGCCAAATGCCTCCCTATCTATGGGCTTTGGGAGAATAGCCCAGTGCTGCTGTCAGTGCAGGTTGCAGCTGTCACATACAGCTCTCAGGGTCTGACAGAGGCAGCTGCGGTGGTTTTGGCACAGCTTTCTGCCATAGAACTGAACGGAGCTGAAATCCAGGCAGGGACGCTGCACAGAGCCCCCATCACTTGGGTGAACATCTGAAGGTCACCACGTCCCCACAGCCCTGTCATTCCCAGCCCCACACATGCATCCTCATCCACAGCTGTTCTGGGCACGGTGGCATTTTCTCTGACCCATGCCTGTTTCCCAGCCCCACCACCTTCCTTCCATGTAAAACAGAAACCAGAAGATGGAGCCAAACTGTCCTGGGAGAGAAAGGAACAGCGCTGCCTCCCCATCACACAAACCCCGGGCTGCCACCTCTCACCTGGGCACCTCCATCCTCACCGCTCCTCCAGCTCGTAAGCAGCTGCCAGGTAATCCTTGGGGACGATCCCGACGGTGCTGTTGAGCTCCCCAACCCACCAGCCATACATGTTGTACTCCTGGGGAGGCACAGCAGAATTAGGGTTAATGCCAGGGGCAGCGGGTGCAGCTCTGCTCCCTTCCTTTGGCAGCTGGGTTTCACACAGACCCGTTTCTCTCCCCTCTGAGTCCCACCGGGAGGCACTTTGCTGCCCTTCCTCACCCCATCCTTCATCCCCCACCCTTCGCTTCCCATGGGATGTGGGTCAGCTCAAGAACAGGGGGGGCTGCATCCCATACTCTGGCGCAGCCCTTTCCCTCAGCCCCTTCCCATGCTTTGCAGGCAAAGCAGGAAAAAAAAAATCCCATTGCAAAACCAGAAGAAAAGAAAGCAGCTCTGTTTGGAACCTCTATGGGCACAGCAGGAGCCCCGGGCAAAGCAGCCCCAGGCAGGAGCTGCACCCCACGTGCAAAGGGGACCCCCCAGCACCCAACCCCCCAACCCCAGCTCTGCCATAGCCCGAACACTATGAGGTATTTTAAAATGATTTCTGCTTTGATGAATTGCTGGCTAGCCCACGATTGCTCATCATCAAAGGGAGGAAAATGCAAATGAGAGCCAGCCGAGAACTCGCGGCACCAAGCGTTTATTTCACTGCACAGTGCCAAAAAGAATTAAAACAACATTAAACTCCCAGCAATAATGTTTAAGTCCTCGTTTCCAAGTGCCAAATTGCACCACTCTGGATCATACAGATGTTCGTTAATTATGCTAATTTTTATTAAACTATTAAAACGAGGAGTGCACTGGCACAGCAAGGCAGAGCCCAGCGCAGGGTGAACTCTGCTCTCGTCTGGAGGTGCTCATTTACATCTCGCTAACGTGCTGATGCTTGAGACAGGGCTGCAGTGCTCGGGTTTTGGAGGGGGGGGGTGAGGAAGAGGGAGTTTGAGGGTTGGTTTTACCTAATTACACGCTAATGGGGCCTCTGTGCTCAATACCTGCATGGACTGGGTTGGATGGGGGGGGTGGGGAGGAAGTAATTTAGCTGAGACTTTACAGAAGGGGCTGCAAACTCACGAATCTGCAGCTCAGTGCTGTGGGCAGGCGGAGTTTGGTGCTCTGTCCCAGTTGCCTATGGGCACCCAGCAGGGCCGTGGCACCCAGCAGCACTGGAAGCCAATCCTACCCCCTAGGGCCCCTCTCTGCTCCTGTCATGCAGCTCTTCTCCATCTCAGCGCTGCTGGAACTGTCAGATTCACTCCCAGGATGAAGAACCCCCCCCTTCCCCCCCTCCCAGGCACTTTCTGCATTTCGTTCCCCGGTGCCAATGGAAGCCAAAAGCAGACACTCGTTCTGATAATCACCAGCAATCGGGGGCTCTTATGGCAGCCCATAAAAGGATTGATGCTGCTGAGCTCCATCCGCAAGGGAAAAAGAAGAGGACAGAGGGGAAAAGAAACAAGACAACCACCACAAAATAGAAACAAACCCAAAACCCAAACCAAGCCAAACCCCAACCACAAACCACTGCCACCAAACCCATGAACAAAGCCAGCTGGGGACACCTCCATGCTCTTTGGGAAGCTCCAAGTGCCCCATCCCACTCTTCTCTTCTTGCTGAGGCTCTGTGGGCTCTCCGTGGGGTTGAAATGTACCCCCGAGCAGCACTCCCAAGCCCTCCTTGCCTTTGCACTCCTTTGCCAGCTCTCATAAACAACCCCTCTGGGCTCCAGGAACGCCATTCATCACCTCGCTTCGCACAGAAGATCAATGACGCTTTGATGGATGCAGAAGGAAAAGCCAATCAGTCAGAGACTTATCGGTTTATGATTGCTCAGCCCCATTATTAGTGCTTGTGTGTCATACATTATTGTTAGGAAAATGGAGGAATCTAATTCATCGATGAGGTACGAGGGGTCGGCTGACACCGGGGAGTTTTATACCAGGTCAGCTGTATGTCTAAAAGCAGCTCAGGGCTGTGGCAAGCTCTGAAATCCAGCCTCTACCCATCCACAAGGGCCTGCCTGTTCCCAGGGAACTTGCAGCATGGGATGCAGCTGGGAGCTCCTTTCCACCCCCACACAGAGCAGCTTTCTCTATGGAGGAGCAGCTCAGGTGCTGCTCACCACAACCTGGCACTGCCCCCTTCACACACTGCTCCTTTAAACCACAAATGATTCCCCCTTGCTCCCAGTGACTCAGCTCTCAGATGTTGCAGGAGTGGAGGTAATGGGGCAATGCTCTTTCCCCTCGTCCCATGTGCTGTGGATGCGGTGCCCGGCCCCACTGGTGTTCCCATCGTGTCCATCCCATTGGGGTCTGTATATCCATCCTACTGAATTCCCCATGTCAATCCCATTGGGGTGTCTCTATATCCATCCCACTGGAGTCCCCATGCCCATCCCATCAGGGTCTGC